CCCCAAAACCCCAAAACCCCAAAACCCCAAGTTTAGTTAGACCCATTGAATTTTACTTTATCGTCAGCAATAGAATCAATGCAGATTAATCTGACAAAATTAAATTATGTATTTTAGGAGTTTCACTTTTGGTGGCTCCTTTGAGTAGTGGATAATTTAATTTCAAGATGTCCAAAGCCATGATCAATTAAAATATTATCAACCACATTCTTCTCCATTCCACACTCGGACATTCTAATCTTCTTCAGATTCTTCCTAAAATCCTCCTCTTTCGAAAGCCCAGCAATCAGGTTTTCAAAGTGGGACTCATTGTTGCCCCAGTCGCTATATGAAGGGTCTCCTCAGCCATCCAAATCTAATTCTTGTATCGTACTTGCAGCCAGAGTTCCTCCAAAATCAGGAACAGAAGACAGGGAGAGTTTGCAGTAAGGAAGCCCAAAGCATTGTGTATGTCTGTTAGCGGAGAAGAGAGCGACAAGTTGGCCCTGAGACACTTCAAATTCATAAATATACAACTCTTCAGTGACTCTCTGACTCACTTCCACCAGTTCCTCCAAGTAAAAGGCAAGACAACCACTCGAAGGAGAGTTTAAGTTAAACTTTAATGCCTTCACTTTGTTGGGGAAATATGCGGACAGGAAAGTCTTGACTTCTTGACAATTCAATGGCATGTATTGAAGATCAAGCATATAAATGTCTGGCATTCTCTTGTTCAGGAATGTGAGAAACTCCATGTGCTTCAGATTGTTAAGTTTAAGTGCCAGCCAGGTTTTAGGTCCGATCTGTTCGTCCTCCCCAGTGATAGCATTGGGGTCTTCTGATTTTGAAGGGCACATTGTGTCTTGCCTCTTCTGTCTCCTACTTGAAGTACAGATTTGCTCTTCTTGAGAGTCTTTATTATCTTCTTCTCTTTGCAGGGAATTTTTTGAGCTCTCTCTTCTTGGGACGATAATTTGTTTCCTCCTTTGATTCTTCCTGGGGCTTCATTTTGCTTCTAGTGTTGGGCTGAGTTCTCTTATTTTTGCGTCCTTTGGTCTTATTATTCTTTCTTGTGTCTTTCCTTGGTGGGGTTTGCTCAGAAGATTCATCAAGGGATCTTCTGGCTCTCTTGTTAGGTCTTCTTCTTGGTTTAGAAGTATTCTTCTGTGATTTTGGACTGTCCTCTTCTGAAGAACTTTTACTATAGAAAGTAAGCATTTTAAGTGACAACATACCTATCTTCATCCTTAATTTCTTCATAATTCGATCTCCTCGTACGTCTTTGATTTGTATTTGAGAGTGAGTTATTCCACATTGCTGAGTCTAAAAACTTGCTGTACAGAGGTTTGCTTTTTATATTGTTCTCAATTTCACGAGCTTCCTTAAGGTTCTTTTTCAGTGTTTTGATTCCAAATTCTGCAATATTATCTTCTTCAAAAAGTGTTTGGATAACTCTTGTTTTTCTTAGTTCCTTAAAATAAATCATTCTGTGTGGTTGGAAATCCCCAGAACTTGGATAAACATATCAAAAACTCCGCAGAATTAAAGATTAAGGTAAAAAGTGTTATAGATAGAATTTATAAGAGAGCAGTATATCCGGCATTGTTGCTGAATTCTCTGAACTCGATTCCTCTATCAAGGAGGAAGTCCTTAGCAGCCATTTTGAGGATTGGTCTACCAGTGTGGCTACCTCTTCCGGTGAAAATGTTGAATTCTATTGGCTTTCTGTCGTCTTTTGGGCCATTTTGCTCGTCGATTTGCTTTAATCTTAGATTTAAGATTTTCTCGAGGAGTCTCATCGCTTCAGCCTTCTTAAGACCATGAAGATCGAGTCTTGAAGTGGCTTCTTCAGGCTTGTTATATCTCTTGTAGGTGAGCATAATAGCTTTATCAGTCTCTGTTTAAAGAGAGGTTTCATATTCAGCAAGTTTGTCCTCAAGGAAGACAGTTTTCTCTTATTCTCCTTCTTTTCTGGCTCTCTTCAAATCCTTCTTGGTCTCTTTGAGATATTGTTTAATGATAGTTGGCTCTTCTCTTACTTCTCTGAAGAAGACATCATCTTTGTAATTTTTCATGCTTCTCTTCTTAGTCTCTTCTTCTCTCTTGAGCCTCTTTTCATGCTTAATTTTCTCTCTTTCCTCTTTCTTGAGCTTCTTGGCTTCACTTTTTATAGCTTTCCTCTCATCCTTAAGCTTCTTCTTGTGCTCCTTTCTGAGGCCCCTGATTTCCTTCTTCATTACCCTAAGGTTTCCCTTAAGTGTCTTGATCTCATCTTTTGAGAGGTCATTCATGTCATTGTCAAGTAGTTCTTGGATCTTATCAATCTCAGCAGCTAATTCTGGGTTTACATCGTGATCGATGTCTTTAGTGGATTTCTTTCCTCTCTTAGTCTCACTTCTGTCTTTTCTCTTTCCTTCTTTCTTGGCTCTTTCTCTTCTCTTTCCTTTGCCCCTCTTGTAGCCGTCGAAGTCTTGTGAGTACATTACCCATTGCTTCTGGAATTCTCCAAGCACGAGCTCGATCTTTCCAAGATTAGGGTAGAAAAACTTGAAACATTCTTCAACACAGGTTGTAGGCACACCAGGGAATTTTTCGATCAGATCATTGGCTAAATCAGCATAAATCTCCTCAGATTGTTGTTCAACCTTCTCCTTGGATTCTTCAAGATAGTTGTCTACCTTAGGAGTGCAAATCTTGCTGATTTCCTCCTCATCATTTTCATCTTGACTTTCATAGCTTTCGCTTTCGCCTTCGTCGCTAGAACTTGAGTCCTGATACTCCTTCTGTTCTTCCCCTAGGATTGCATCGGCTTCAGCGATGGAATCACTAATACTCTGAACAGTCTTACGGGCATCCTTCAGGTCTCCTTTGTTCTTGCGAACCTCGTTTTGAATAGTCAACTTGTTCACAGCTGGGAATTCAGAGTGAATCAAGTCGATTAATTCTTGGTTTTGAGATTGCATATTTTATTAATTATTATGGATTCTAAAATTCACTTTCTTAAGTATTAATTCTGTTAACCAACAAAATACAATTTACAATTATTTGGATAATAGAAGGGGTTTTAGCTATGAAATTTTTCCCTGATATCATTAACAGCTTTAATGGTTGTTTCGACGGTGGAGAAGTCTGTTAATTCGGTAGAATCTTCATCGCGATACGAAATACGGTGGTGGTGGTTACAAACGTATATTTCCCTGTCATTAAGATAGATATGAGCTTTGGTGGGGGCACTTAGCACGACTAGATACGCCCTTGTGCTGACATGTTATTTGTTTCATAATTAATTTTATGAAATATTAAACTTACGTCATTCAAATACTTTCAATATCATACAGTTTCCTGGGGTTTTGGGGTTTTGGGGTTTTGGGGTTTTGGGG